ATTACTATTAGATGAAATTGATGTTACTTTGCTGCTGTCCTCCCCAGTATTGAAAACGTTTTGTGTGCTTAAAAAATTAGTCTACTCATGACTTGTTTGCTATTTATTAATATCGACATATATCACTCTAGTATCTTTATCAATAAATGAAAAACTCTGCCATCACTTTTATCTCGAATAAATGATCAACTTTCTCAGATTATGAAATATTTACAATGGAGAGGTCTTGCATACTAGTTACTTTTAACAACTTCAAAATCTTTCTTAATTCACCATCCTACTCAACACCTACATTTTCTCTATTCAAAGACCACTAATCAGTCTTAATAAATGTTAGTATTGCCATAATCATCTGGCAATATATGTTCATTTTCTGTAATAATAATTCTCACATGCTACTTGGTAGGGATTGAGAACAGAAATGAAAGACAATGACCCATCAAAGTACCTCAACCTTTTTAGGAAAGCAAAAATACACATGACATAATATTTGTACTCTAAGATTTAACATAACAGTTCCTTAACATCATGTGTTTTCAGAAGGACAAATAGAACATGATAGAGATGCTGAAGGAAAGATTTAACGATAAAAATTGATTTAGGTATTGAGATAAAATAACATCTGCATTAATATTACTACTTATTCAAACACCCACATATCTGGATATGGAATCAAACACAGTCAATAAATATTAATTGAGGATTACTATGTGTTAAAAATTTCAGTGTGTCCAAGATCTTTTACTGACCTTATTTAAACTTCATCTTCATGCTATTTGATTTCTCATCAACTAAATAAGAATAATATTAGATTGGTGCAAAAGTACTTGCAGTTTTTGCCATTAAAGGTAATTGCAGGAGGGATCCAAGATGGCAGATTAGGAGCAGCTCAGGATTGCAGCTCTCAGTGAAAGTGTTGAGGGTGAGTGGACACCGCATTTCCAGACAGATTTTTGTTGCTCACAGACCAGGAGATTACCAGGTGGAGGAGCCCCACAGGTCACCAGCGTGGCTGGTTTGGCCCGCATGGCTGGTTTGGCCCACACGGCTGTTTTCAACAGCATGGCTGTTTTGGTTGCTGTAGCTGTTTTGCCAGCACCCCAGCGCAGCAGTTCTCTGTACAAAATACACGGGTTTGGGCGCTATTTTAGCTGGCAATTGGAGCTCCAGGAAGGCAAAGTCACCCATTCATCTTATTAAAAAGAGGACTGAAACAGGGAGCCAAGCCAAGAGATTCCTGGGCAAAAAAGTGCCACTGTTTCAGCTGGTGCTGTGGGTTGTCACATGGAAAATCACACAGATTCCAGCACTTTTCAACAGGCGACAGGAACACCTGGGTGACAGTCGACCATTCAAATTAAAAAAAAAAGTCTCTGAGGCAGGGAGCCAGGTGACAGGCTCAGCTGGTCCAACCCCTACAAAAAAAAAAAAAGAAATCAGAAACACTCTGGGTTGAGAGTTTCACAGCAAGCACAGCTGAACCCTGGATGGTCCAGCTCTGTGGGGGAGTGGCATCCACCATCACTGAGGCAGTCCACCACTATGGAGGTAGTTTGCCACTGCTGAGGCAGCCTGCCGTTGCCAAGGCAGCCGCTATTACAGAGAGAGTCAGCCATTATAGAGGTGGGCCACCATTGCTGAGGCAGTTCTGACTAAACCCATATAAAACGGACTGCAGTGAAGTTCACATGGCAGCTGAGCGGAGCCCACAGCAGTTCAGAAAAGCCTCTGCAGGCAGACAGTGACTAAGCTGCCTTCTTTCTGGGCAGGACATCCCTGAGAAAAGGCAACAGCCCAACAGAAACTCATGAATAAAGCCCTAAGTCCCTGAGACAGAGCACCTGGGGAAAAAAATGTGGTATCTGAGTTCTGCTGCAGCTTACTGGAATGTACCTGCCCAGCAGCTCTGAATGAACAACAGAGCTCACAGCTCAGCACTTCAGATCCTATAGAGGACAGACTGTCTCCTCATGCAGCTCCCTGACCCCCGTATATACAAAGAGTCACCTCATAAAGGAGAGCTCAGACTGACATCTGGCAGGTGTCCTTCCAGGACAAAGATAGAAGAAGAAACTGGTAGCAACCCTTACTGTTCTGCAACTGCTACAGGTGATCCCCAGGAAAGCAGGGCCTGGAGTGGACATCAGCAGTCTTACAGCAGAGGGGCCAGACTGTTAGAAGGAAAACAAAGAAACAGAAAGAAATAACTTCATCATCAACAAACTGGATGTCCACTCAGAGACGCAATCTGAAAGTCAAAAACTACAAAGACGACTGGTGGATAAATCCACAAAGGTGGGAAGAAACCAGCGCGAAAAGGAGGAAAACACCCAAAACCAGAACGCCTCTCTTCCTACAAGGGAATCACAACTCCTCACTAGCAAGGGAACAAGGCTGGATGGAGAACGAGTGTGATTAATTGACAGAAGCAGGCTTCGGAAGGTGGTGAATAAGAAACTTCTGTGAGCTAAAAGGACATGTTCTATACCAAAGCAAAGAAACTAAGAATGTTGAAAAAAGATTTGACGAAATGTGATGAGAAAAAACAACTTAGAGAGGCATATAATTAATTGATGGAGCTGAAAACAGAACAGGAGAACTTCACGAAGCATACACAAGTTTCAACAGCCAAATTGACCAAGCAGAAGAAAGGACATCAGAGGTTGAAGATCAACTCAATGAAATAAAACTAGAAGGCAAGATTAGAGAGAAATGGGTCAAAAGGAATAAACAAAGTTTCTAAGAAGTATGGGACTATGCGAAAAGACCTAATCTACGTTTGATAGGTGTACCTGAATGTGACAGAGAGAATTAATGCAAGCTGGAAAATACTCCTCAGGGAAATATCCAGGAAAACTTCCCCAACCTAACAAGACAGGTCCATATTCAAGTCCAGGAAATACAGAGAACACCACAAAGATATTCCTCATAGGACAGCTCAAGTTGACACAAAGCACCCATAGATGGTTGGTCCCAAATCAACAGCATTTCCACTCAGAATCCTTCATGGTTACCAATATGTGAACCCAAAAGTATCTGAGACGGACCTCAAGGAATTTAGAAAGTTTATTTTCCCAAGTTCTGCATATCCATGACACAGGCTCAAGAGGTTCAGACAACATATGCCCATGGAAGTTCGGGTACAGCTTGTTTTCATATACTTTAGGGGGATAAATACATAAATTGATACACATAATATCTTACATTGCTTCAAAATGGAAGGGCAGAACCACTTGAAGTGGGCACTTCTGCATCATAAGTCAACTTTATTAATCTTTTCAAAATCCAATTTTCATTTTATTGGTTTTCTATACTAGGTAGATAACTTCAGAAATGTTGATTTCCAAATAGCTGAAAGAGTAATCAATAGATTAAAAAAAAACATGTCTGAGGTATAATAATGAGTTGCAGAGATTAAGGTTTTATCAAGCAGTTAGTCTCCAGGTAGCAGGCTTGAGAGAGATAAACTGTAAATGTTTCCTATCAGACTTAAGGTCTGTGTTGATGTTAATGCTGGTGGGCTGTTTTTGAATTTCAAAAGGAAGGAGGATATGTCTCAAACTTCCCATCATGGCCTGAACTACTGTTCCAGGTTAACTCTGGAATGGCCTTGGCCAATAGGAGGGGCCCATTCATTTGGTTGAATTTTAATTTTAGTTTACAATTTATACAAAGTATGTTTTGTGACTGCATTGGAATAAACCTGGAAATTAATAATGGAAAGAAATTTTGAAAATTTATAATGATATGGAAATTAGCACATTCCTCAGCAATCAATGAATCAAAGAAGAAATCTCAGGAGAAAATAGAAAGTACTTTTAAATGAAAATGAAAGATAATATAACAAACTCATGAGCTGCAGCAAAGGCAGCACTTACGGAAACTTTATGGCTAGAAAGACATACATAAAAGGAAAAACTCAAATCAATAAACTCTCATTTAAAAAAAATAGAAAAAGTACAAACTAATCCCAAAACAAAGTAGGAAGTTTAGACAAGAACCATATATACAAAACCAACACAACGAAAATTGGTTGTTTAATAAGATTGATAAAAATTCACAAACTTTACCTGAACAAGAAAGAATGAGACTTTATATAATAAAAAATGACTAGTAATGTTAAAAAAAAGAGGACTATAGAGGAAGACTGTGGAAAATGTACACATAAACTAAATGAAAGATTCAAATTTCTGGAGAAAGACACAACATGCTGATAGTACTTCCAGGGGAAAAAAAAAGAAAATCTGAACAAACCTAAAACACAACATTGAATTAGTAATTTTAAAAAATTCCACAAAGAAATGTCAAGGATCCCAGGCCCTAGAACTGTGAGCAATGTATATCTGTTGTTTATTTAAAAAAAAAAAAAGTTAAGGATCAAATGACTTCACTGGAGAATTTTAGAGAAAGCTTTCTTGATGACATATGGGAATAGGTATGTGGAAACAAAGTCTACCTCTTGCTATCTATTAGATAATCATCTATTATTGTTATTAAAATAAATGCATTTAGTGTTTATTGTGTACCTTGTGTACGCGGGGCTTTCGAATGCTGGTGCCTCTGGTGACCTGGTACCTGGTATTCTGTTTGTTTGCTTGTTTGTTTCTATTTCGTAAGAATTGTTGGCATCAGCATTCTACATCATAGTGTCCATCTGGGTAAGGGTTTCAGGTCAAGCACAACTTTATTATTCCAAGTTGGAGGTTTCTGTGGTGTCTGGGTACCTTATTCATAATTACGTTTATCTTGAGAAGTGAATTATATAGGTAAATATCTGTTTTATGCTTGATAAACAGATATTTGCCATTCACTGCATATCAGATAAAATTTTTCACATAATGTTGGTTTGTTGATTGTGAAGATGGCGAATCTATATTTTATTTATGTAAGTAATTTTTTCCTTCTCTCTGTCTCTAACTTCTATCTACCCCCACCCCCCACTTTGTTGCAGTGTAGTGGCACAATCTCCATTTACTGCCTGCACCACCTGGGCTCAAGCAATTCTGCCTCAGCCTCCTGAGTAACAAGTAATATTTCAAATTCTATAATTCATTCTGCCGATATGCGATGGAATCTGTTGTCACAGTTTTAGAGAAGACTGTGGCTCTGGTCCCTAGTCAAGCATTAACTACAAGAGTGAAATGAAATGCATGCAGATTAGGAACACTGAACTCTTAAATATGGGCGAAGAGTTTAAGAACAGTCTCAGAAAACTATAAAATCTTTGAGATTGCCTGCTGCGCAAGTCTTTCTACTCGGGGTTTCCTCTGATTTGCCTCTGTCTGTCTTATGCATAACTGTCCTGACTAAAAGGTGAGACTTTTTTTTGAGACAGTCTCTCGCTGTGGCCTGCACCCGAGGGCAAGGGCACAATCTCAGCTCACTGCAACCCCAGCCTCCCGAGTTCACGCGGGTCCCCTCCCTCGGCCTCCAAGGTAGCTGAGACTACAGGTAGGCACTATTCACATCTCCTTTATGGCCATTATGCTAGATACAGCCACTAGAGGGAGCTGCCGTCTTCCTACCCAGCCGCGCGCAGCGTCACACTCGGGCAAACGACGTCATACATAAATCGTGAGTGGGCGTGGCCTGGTTGCCGGCATAGCCCGGTGTTCTGCTGAGATCTCTGGCTCGGCCGCCGCCATTTTTGTTCACCGCTGAAGGGAAGGAAGTGTCTGCGAAAGAAACGGTCCCAAGCTCTACAGCGCAGGAAGGAGAGAAAGCAGCGACTGGTCTCGGTGGGCCAAGCGTCGGGAAAGAAGAGGAGAAGGACGAGGGCGGTGGCCAGGTTTGCTTTCGTCGCGTTGAGACACTGGCGGCGGCGGCGGCGGCCGGGGGATTTGGGGGGGGCGGTCAGGGGGCGGCCGGGGGACCAGGGAACTGGCACGGGTGACTCCCTTCCGGTTGCCTCACCAGGGGTGGGGACTTCAGACGGCCTCCACCCCGGGCCTGAGGTCACAGGGGTCTGTGCCGGACTGAGGTCATAGCAGACCGTTTTGAGGCTGGGTGGGGACGAGGGGATCCCGAGACGGTGCCTAAGCTCCCCGCCCTTTCTCGGGGTGTAGAAAGCTGACTTCGAGGGTGCAGATGCTCAGCGTTGCCCTTCGGAGTCACAGGCTCGTCGTCGCTGGCCGGAGGTCTTTCCCACGCGCTGGCTTGTATCAGCCCCTTGTGAGCCGGGAGATTTTCAGCAGTTCAGCGTCTCTAGTCCGGCTGCTTCACCGTTAAATTATTCCAGCTGGAATCATCCTTCAGACCCCAGATCCCCGCGCCCCCAGATTTTGGCCTCCAGCTTGCAAAAGCAGCTATGTCCCGGGGGGTGTCTGGTCTTCATTTACCCCAAAGACAACTTTTATCTGACATTTTCCTTTAGACAGCACTCTCTCTTCCCTGGCCTACTTTCCCACATTCAACCTTGAGAGCAAAAAACAAAAAAACAAAAAAAAAAAGGGCTAGACTTTGTGTAAGAGTATTTGGGCCTCATCTCTCTGTTGTGGAGCCTTTCCCACATCTCACCCTGACTGCAGGGTCTCTGTAGGGGGCCGTGTTTTTATTTTGATAAGTTAGTGCTTGGCTTTTCAGGTTTTTCAAGCCCCTACCGTCTTTCAGAGAGATCACTAAAGCCATCTTCCCCAATGCGTGTATCGTCTTCCGTGGGAAAGGAATAGTGAACATTGCTATTTAAAGGTATACTGCCAGTATCTATTTTACGGGGCTCAGAACCTCTCAAAGGACCAGATACCAGGTGTGAGTGTTTGAATGCACAACCTCCCACTAGAAATCTATTCCCATGTCCATCAGTTTTGTTATCACAGACTCTGTTAGGTTTGCTTCTAACTACCATTGTCGGAGAGTCACCTCCTCAGCCTTACTCTAGGCCCTACCTCTTCCTTCAAAAGCAGAGTTCAAAATGGGAAATCCAGTCCCACCTCAACATCTATCCCATGTCTGCTCACTGAGCTTATTCGGCCCTAAATTGTGTAAGCTCAACCTGCCCATTTTTCCCCTTTAGGTTTATTACCTACCGTGTCTGTCTTTTAATAAAATAGGGTCACCACAAAACTCTCTCCCAGAATTGCCACTAATAGAAAAGCCTCCCCGTATTTGCTTCACCTTTAACACTCCCTTTTCCTCCAGATGTCCAGCTCACTGCTCTCCAAGAAACGTCGCATATCTGGGCCTGGTTCAGAGTTGGATTCTGACTGCTCCTCTGCCTACTCTGTGATGTCTGAAGTGCCTTCGGGACCAACCCAGGAAGATGTATCTCTGGACACTGACAGATGAGGAGGTAGAGGGACTGGTAGAAAAGTACCTCTGTCTGTCTGTCTGTCTGTCTGTCCGTCCCATTACGCCCTATCTCCTCTTAACCTGTTTTTCCCTCCATCTCTAGGGAATGTCCAAAAACAACACTGAAATACACATAGATGAAGATCTTTACTCCCGCCAGCTGTAAGTGGGGCCATGGCTGGGGGTGAGAGGTGGGAAGAGACACAGAGAAGATAGGGTTGGATGAGCCTATCCTGACCAGAGGCCTCCATAACCTGCCAGCTATGTGCTGGGTCATGAGGCGATGAAGTATCTCCAGACATCCAGTGTGCTGGTTTCAGGCCTGCAGGGGTTAGGTGTGGAGATCGCCAAGAACATCATCCTCGGTGGGGTCAAGGCTATCACTTTACATGACCAGGGCACTGCCCAGTGGGCTGACCTCTCCTCCCAGGTAACTCACAGCCCCCTTTGCTTTTCCAGGGAACCAGTCTGCCTGGGCTCTGCATTCACTTAAGTTCTCTCTTCCTGCATCCTCTGCTAGTTCTACCTGCGAGAGGAGGACATTGGTAAAAACCGAGCTGAAGTTTCACAGTCGCACCTTGCAGAACTCAATGGCTATGTGCGTGTCTGCACCTACACAGGACCCTTGGTTGAGGACTTTCTTAGTGGTTTCCAGGTACCTTGGGGCATTACCCACCCGCCGCCCGACCTTATTTTTTCAAGTCTTGTCTCTGGTGTGTTTGCTTGTTTAAAATTGATTTAATGGCAGGCCCTGCGTGCACATTTCATGCTGGAGGGCTAAGGAATGCAGGTAGGGATTACACTCTGGACCTGTCCTTGGGGGACTCATCCCTTTTCAGAAGGGAAGATTTGGCCATACACTGTGGCACAGTGATTATGAACATTGATCTTGAGCTGAACTGTACTAGCTTCACATGAGTCTTGCCATCTTTTAATGGTATGACTATAAACAAGTCACGTAATCTCTGCCTTAGTTACTGTCTCTGGAAAAGGAACAATAGCACTATTAGCCTCACAGAGGTTTTCTGAAGGCTAAACTTAGAATAGCTGGAGAGCATCATATAGGTGTTTTTTATTAACTGTACTGGAAGGAGGAGCAGTGAGTACTGATGATCTGTCTTCAGGTGTCCCAGAGGAGAAGGACACCAAAATTTCTGATATAGGAATAAGAACTTTTACACCAATGAATAAGGAAAAAAAATAAGAGAAATCCCTAATATCATGGCTGAACAGGTTTTTCCTGAGATTTTCAAGCCAGTGAATGTGATGGAGACAAATGGAGGCTTTGAATGGGGCACACTGTTATTCATTTTTTTATGTATCAGGTCACCACAGGGCAGGCAGCAGTTTATTTGACACATAGATGTTTGCCAAATAAAGGGATTCTCTGTTCTTCAAACTCTTTCCTCCCTGTATCCCTTTATCTGACACACATAGATGCTTCACAGGTGTTTGTAAATGAGGGCCAATGCAGAAAAGCCTAGGTGAGGCTATCCAGTCCATCCCTTCCTTTTAGCCTTTATCTTCTGTTATGTCACTCCACTGTATTCTAGTACCAGGCCTCAGCCCAGGCCTTTGGCTCTTCATAGGTGGTGGTCCTTACCAACACTCCCTTGGAGAGCCAGCTGCAAGTGGGTGAGTTTTGTCATAGCTGTGGAATCAAGCTGGTGGTGGCAGACACCAGGGGCCTCTTTGGGTAAGTACCTGCCTCTGCCTGCCTCCTGCAACCCCTGCCAAACTCAGGCCAAGAGGCTCCCACTGCACTTGTGTTACATTCAGCCACCTGAATTTTAAATTCTGCATTTTTGCTCTTTCCATTTGACCTGAACACCAAGTGATTCCTACTGTGGATCAGCTGAGTTTGCTTCCCAAGTGTTCATTGTACCTAGAGGGAAAAGGGAGTACCTATGTATATGGACCTGAGGCACCAGTTCTGTTACTCCCTCTGCAGGCAGCTCTTCTGTGACTTTGGAAAAGACATGATTCTCAGAGATTCCAATGGGGAGCAGCCACTTAGTGCTATGGTTTCTATGATCACCAAGGTAAGGAGGACCTCAAGGAGTTTGGGGAAACACTGGTGAGCAGCAACAGTTTTGCCAATCTACTGGCACTCTGGCCTTTCTCTAAAGTCTACTCCACTTCCAACTAGGACAGCCCTGGTGTGGTCACCTGCCTGGATGAGGCCCGGCATGGGTTTGAGAGTGGCGACTTTGTCTCCTTCAGAGAAGTCCAGGGCATGTGTGAACTCAATGACATCCACCCCACAGAGATAAAGGTCCTAGGTATGTCGGGATGAGAAGTGGTTGCCTGGAACAAAGAGAAAGTTGTCTCCGATGGGGGTTTACCCAGAGGCCAAGAGGTGACACTTGTCCATAGTCTGAATTGGACTGAAGGCCAAAGAAAGATGTTTGACTCTGGCACGTGAGCTGGGACTGAGGAGACAGTCCTATGAGATCTTACTGAATGTAAACTCCATGCTAGAGGCAAAAGAGTTATATGCCACAGTGTTGATTCCATTTCTTTTCTCTCTCTCTCTTTCTCCGCACCTCTCTCTCTCATGTCTTTATTGGCTGTGCTTTTAAAATTAGAATGGCTTTTGAATTTTTAGCGTACATCTTTAATGTTTATTTAGCATAGTCTCCAGTAATTTACCACTTCACCTATAAAAGAACCTTACAATAAAATATTTTCATTTTCTTGTTTATTGTTTGCTGTTATCATATATTTTACTTTTCATGTTTCATAAGCTGCTCTACATTTTTAACAATTAACATTTTTAAAGAGAAATAAGTAGTAAGAGACAGCTTTTTTACAGACATCAAATTTTTCAGTATTCTTCCTTTTCTGTTGACCCATATTTTTGGCCTGAAACATGCCCTTTCATGTTTGTCCAAGTGTGAGTCTGCTGGTCAATTTTCTGTCAACTGTTTTATGTCCAAAATTGTGTTTACCTTGCATATTTTTTGAAATTATTTAGACTTCTTGTTTTTCCTTTAACCTAGATGTAAAGTGCTTATTTTCTATCTCACTGATTTTAAGCAATGTGATAATGATATACCTTCATATGTTTTCTCTATGTACCTTTTGTTTGTGGCTTTCAGATTTATATAATCTGTGGACTGATAGTTTGATACTTTGGATTACTTTGTAAAAATACTGTGTTGTTTCCCCAGCAGCCATCCCCTCTTTCCAGGATTTCAGTTATATGTACCTTAAGCAAGTTTATCTTCCACAACTCAGCTGCGTATTCCTTTTTGTCCTCTTTCCTCTTTATTGTATTTTGAATGTTGGGTAATACCTTTTAATATATCATCTTTTAAGTGTCTTAATCTGGTAATCTTATCCAGGATATAAGATTGGTAGAAAAGAACATTGAAATAAATTTGGAAATAATTTCTTGTAGTCCAAGAAGCTCTAGGAAATGATGAGCTGCTTAAGGTATTAAAACAAAAAGATACCTAAATTAAACTTCTGTGAGTGAAAAATACAGGTTTGATGGAATGCTAAGAACAGAATAGGTCCAGGAATGTTTCTGAAGAAATGATGGTGAAAATAATTACCACCGTTTGATGAAAACTTAAGTCACAGATTTAGGAAGCTCAGTGAACTGTAGCTGAAAAAACGTTCTTATGTGTTACTTTGTAGAGAAAGAAAAATTGTGAATGTTACATACTTGATGCAGGGTTTCTTTGTTTTTTTCCCAGAGTGGCATTTAGTTATGGGGTGTCTGTGTGGGATGAGCTAGACCTGGGGCAGAAGGAAATACTTTCTCATGTATGAGTAGAGAGAGCTTCTGGCAGAGGCTTCTAGTGTCTTGAGCTGGGAGATTGTGGCTTTTTAATCCTCATTTTTATGATGCCATTTATTTTGGGTGGCAAGGTAGAAATGTTACTGCATGCATTGAAAGATTACACTGTATCCTTTTTAATTTCCTAGGTCCTTACACCTTTAGTATCTGTGATACCTCCAGCTTCTCTGACTACATTGGCGGAGGCGTCCTCAGTCAGGTCAAAGTATCTAAGAAGATTAGTTTTGTGAGTAGCGGTGGTAGGGATGTGGACTATGTGGTTCATGAATTTCTAGTTTTTTCACAGCTGTGGTACTAATAACCTTGCTTTCCACAGAAATCCATGCTTGCCTCACTGGCAGAGCCAGACTTTGTGATAACAGACTGTGCTAAGTATTCTCGCCCTGCTCATCTACATATTGGCTTCCAGGCACTGCATCAGTTCTGTACTCAACATAGCAGGCCACCTCATCCCCACAACGAGGTATATGAGTGGGCCAGCCAGCCAGGGTACTTGTCCTGGAGCACCTCATGCCTCTCCGTCTGTCTGTTCCCCCTCCATCTTCTTTCTCCTCCTCTTCCTCTTCCTCCTCTCCCTTCTCCTCCCCGTCTTTTAGTGGCCTAACACGTCATCTTTTGGTTTCTTCTGGCCTACCAGGAGGATGCAACAGAACTAGTGACTCTAGCACAGGCCATGAATGCTCGAGCCTTGCCATCAGTGAGTCAAGGCAACCTGGATGTGGACCTCATCCGGAAGCTGGCACATGTGGCTGCTGGGGATCTGGCACCTATAAATGCCTTCATTGGAGGCCTGGCTGCCCAGGAGGTTATGAAGGTTAGCAGGGGTGGGAAAGGACATGTCTGCGTGTGGTCCAGGTGCTTCCCTGGATTTATCACTTTTGTTGTCCATTTGTTTTAGGCTATGACTAACCGCTGATCATTCTCCCTCAGGCGTGCTCTGGAAAGTTTATGCCAATCATGCAGTGGCTGTACTTTGATGCCCTTGAGTGTCTCCCTGAGGATAAAGCGGACTTGATGGAAGACAGATGCCTCCCAGTACTTGGCAGGGGCAGAAGGGGCTTGGGGAAGGGCACTGGGAGCATGTTTAAGGCAACTCCTCTCTGACCTTCCTCTTTTTACATGATAGCACCAGAATCGTTATGATGGACAGGTGGCTGTGTTTGGCTCAGACCTGCAAGAGAAGCTGGCCAAACAGAAGTACTTCGTGGTGAATACCCCTGTTGGACACCTGTTACTTTCGCCTCCCTGGCCTCTGGTCACCTATTCTGCCTCCCACCAGAGAGTCTTTTGGTTCTTGCAACCTAACTACATATCTCCTTTGGATTTTCTGTATATTAAGTGAAAGCTTAATGTATTCCTTTACTTCTCCCATCCAGTGCCTCCTTCCTCAGATAATGAAAGGTTCAATGGCCCTGGGAGTTGAATGGGTGGCCGTGGGCCCTCTTGTCTTCTCTTGCTATATTCAGGGAGAGAGTGGAGTGGTGGGTGACTCTGCATTGTCCTTTGTCACCCTGATAAGGTTTCTCTTGTTTGCTATCTTTCAAGTGGGTGCTGGGGCCATTGGCTGTGAGCTTCTCAAGAATTTTGCCATGATTGGGCTAGGCTGTGTGGAGGGTGGCAGAATAACTGTTACAGACATGGACACCATCGAGAAATCCAATCTGAACAGACAGTTTCTCTTCCGACCCTGGGATGTCTCGGTGAGTAGGGCAGGCTTAGAGTTTATCTCACTTCTCTCCTCTCCCTTTCTCTTATTTTGGATCTTAATGGCCCAGGTCTTCTTGCCGCTGCCTTTTAGCCCTTGCGTCACTCATTTTTCATTCAACATTTATTGAATACTTGGTTTGTTTTTTTTCATAAATCTGGTAGTTTTTCTTAAGTCTTCAATCCTTTTGTTTCTGTTGGGGGGTCACTGCTAATGTTGAAACTGAAGTCGGGTTGTAAAAGGATTGTCTAGAAAGTTGCCTGTAAAGGTCATTGCTATTTTTGCCTGCTTATAATCTCTCATTCCTTTTGTACCCCACATAGTAAATGCTACTCTAGAAATTTGGAATTCATGAGAGGTGGCAAAACAAAGGTTCCTTTCCTTGATGCAGAGTAAATGAGACATTCTCAGAATGCAGTCCCATGTCATTTGGAGGTCCTTCAAACTCTTAGTGGGCCTATATGATTGCAAATGTTTTAATAATAACTAAGATGTAATTTGCCATCTTCATTCTTATTTTATCAAGTGAATACGAGATTTTCATTTAGAAAGCCTTCGTGAACTCAGTAAAGTGAGCATTTTCCAAATGGCCAGTGATGACGATAAAGTGTTATTCTTGACCAGGTGTGGTGGCTCAGGCCTGTAATCCCAGCACTTTGAGAGGCCAAGGTGGGTGGGTCACCTGAGGTCAGGAGTTTGTGAGGAGCCTGCCTCACGTGGTGAAACCCCATCTCTACTAAAAATACAAAAGTTAGCCAGGCATGGTGGTGGGTGCCTGTAATCCCAGCTACTTGGGAGGCTGAGGCAGGAGAATCAGTTGAACCCACAGGCAGAGGTTTTAGTGAGCCAAAATGGTGCCATTGCACTCCAGCCTGGGTGACAAGCAAAACTCCATCTTCAAACAAACAGAAAGTTATTCTTTAAAAATTAATTCCGAATGGTCGACAAACCACTGGATACTGATAATGAAATCAAGGATTATGAAAATATTTTCATGTGATGTTGAATCTCACATGTATCCTTAAACAAAATACATAGTGGATTGCATGCGGTGGGTATGAGAATCCAGCTATCTTCATGAGGCTACATAACTTAAAAAGAGATTTGCAAAACCCACTAGAATGTGACTCTTATTACTGAAGTTTCTTTTTTTAGTCCTTATCTACCTATTTATGTTTCTTTCTTTAATTATTATATTAAGACCCGAGATACGTGTTTGTTACACATTTGTTAGATAGGTACACATGTGCTGTGGTTGTTTGCTGCACACATCCCCGTGTCGTCTGTGTTAGGTATTTCTCTAATGCTCTCCCTCAAGTAGCACTGCACTCACCAACAGGTCCGGTGTGTGATTTTCCCCTTCCCGTGTCCATGTCTTCTAATTGTTCAACTTCTATTTAGAATTGAGGACATACGGTGTTATTACTGAATGAATATTACTGAACTAAAATGTTTTATGATAATGTTTATATTGTACATAATCACCTTATTACACTTTTCAATTGACTGATTTTGAAGGGCCCCAGTTTAAAGTTCTCACATTGGAAAATAATGATACCTTTTGCCTATATAACAGGTTATTTTAAAGATTCTTTTATAGACCATTATGTTAAACAACTGCAATAAGTAACAACTGTAATAAGCAAATAAGGGTAGCAGGGGATATAGTTGATGTTAGAATGTGGAAATTACTAATGATAAAAAACTCAAGAGGCACTTGGAAATGCCACAGGAATTGTTTTTCAGCGTAGATCAGGAAGGCCTTTTTGGAAAGTTGTCATTTTTGCAAAGACTTAAGAGAATGTAGGAAAATAAGTGGAACATGATGAATAGTGTAGCGGGAAAAGGTAAGGGCCTGAGCAAGACTATGGTTGAAATATGCTTGTGGTGTTTAGTAACAGAGTTCATAGAGAAGGGAAGACACTAATTTTACTCCAACTGAAAGTGGAAGCCAGTGGAGAGTTTTGAGCAGAACAGGAATGTGGCTTGAGCTTTGATGAGATCCTTTTTGTTTTTCTACCACTTGGTATAAATAAAACCTTGGTTTCATTTTGATGCATCTATCCCAACTACAGGTGTCATTAACTTAAAAAAAAATAGATGTTGGGGCTGGGAGTGCTGATTCACACCTGTAATCCTAGCACATTAGGAGGCCGAGGCAGGCGGATCGCCTCAGGTTGTGAGTTTCAGACCAACCTGGCCAACATGGAGAAACCCCTTTTCTACTAAAATACAAAATTAGCTGGGCATGGTGGCAGGTGCCTGTACTACCAGCTACTCAGGAGGCTGAGGCAGGAAAAATTGCTTGAAGCTGGGAGGAAGAGGTTGCGGTGAGTGGAGGTTTGCGCCATTGCATTCCATCCTGGGCAACAAGAGCAAAACTCCATCTCAAAAAAAAAAAAAAAAAAGAAATTATGGTATAGGTCAAATAATTGATACCGGATTCAGTGCTTTACTTTTGTGTCTGTTTTATTGTTTTGTTTTAGCCACATTTGTTACAGCCCCAACCATGTGGCATACTCATAGGCCAGCTTTTTTGCTAAACAGCAGCCCTCAGAGCTCAATTTAGGTCTTTTCAGGTTAGCCCTATATAGATTTGTTAGGTGACTCATGCTTAACAGCTTTGTATCCCCATCTGCTTCCAGAAATTCGAGTCTGACACAGCTGCTGCAGCTGTGCATCAGATAAATCCACACATCAGGGTGATGAGCCAGCAGAATCGTGTGGGCCCTGAAACAGAGTGTATCTACAATGATGACTTCTTCCAAAACCTGGATGCTGTGGCCAATGCTCTGGACAATGTGGATGCCCATGAGTTTGGAGGCGGGTGAGGATGAGGGTAGAATTTTGAATGTGAATATTGCAGGTTGCTGATCTTCCTGCCTGTCTCCCATTTCTAATGCCACTTCTACCACCTCTCCAAGGACTGTACATGGACAGCTGCTGTGTCTATTACCGAAAGCCACTACTGGAGTCTGGAACACTGGGCACCAAGGGCAGTGTGCAGGTGGTCATTCCCTTCTTGACAGAGTCTTACAGCTCCAGCCAGGACCCCCCTGAGAAATCTATCCCCATCTGTACACTAAAGAACTTCCCCAGTGCTATCGAGCATACCTGCAGGTAAGCAGCCTTAGAGGCAGCAGAGGTGGGAGAGAGAGGCACCTAGGTAGATGGCCTCTGGGTCATCAAGCCTGTCATTTAAATGCTGAAAGCTGTAGCATAGCTTTTGTATTTTCTCCAGACCTCTTTCCTTTTCTTTAGACTCGGCAGCATAAGTTTGTAAAAGTGATTAATTTCTTTTTGTCTTGTACTTCAAAATTTTTATTTTGGAAGGGCATCTTTATACAAGGCAAAACATCTTTATAAAAGTATAGAATCTAATTTGTCATTATGTAAAAAACAGCAATATGCTTCTGTGTAAACAATGCTGTTCTTGTGGATAAAATTAATTTCTTTATAGTCTCACTTTTATAGTTAACTTTAAAACATGAATTGATAATTGTATTTCCCTAACTTTTGCCCAAAATGTGTTTAACAGCTGGCTTGTTAGGATATTTCTGTTTCTCTGTTACAGAACAGGGCATATGTTACCTAGGTAGATAAAGTGAACACACCTGGATAATTGACACCTAGAACACCTAATCCTAATTTACTACCCTTTGAGCCCAAGAACAACCATTGCATTTTCAGAATTTGTCTCAGTGTTGTGTTTGACTCCATGATTAGGAGGAATATAAAGATGGGAAGAAAAGAGGGAGAAAAATGTTAATTCTCACTTCAACCAGGCAGTTAGAGAATGAATACGTTTATGTTTGTGTTGTCACCACTGTCTCTTGTCTCTCTCTCTCCTACCTGAATATGTGAATCTACATAGCTTTTAGTAGGATGTGGTATTCTACTCTTTGCCTAACGTGCAGGGAGGCCCATAAAAGGGTTTTAAGATAGATTTTCTTCATAACCTTGTACTGAATCTCCCGTGCCTTGGATTCCTTGCTGTAAAATGTGCATTACAATAGTCTCTCTCAAAGGGCTTTTATAAAGCACTTAGCACTTAGTATGTACTTGGCACTCTTTTCAGGATACTTTATAATTAACATATTTGCTCACTTCTTTATAGAAATTTCATGAGTTGTATATATTAGTGTTCCAGTATATATTTTGAAATGTTACCCTCTGTGCCTGAAGTCACAAAAATAGGTTGTGTGTGGCAGACCTGGATTGAAACCTAAGTGTCCATTCTCAGGGTGCTTCAGACAGCTTCATTGGTGACTCTATTGACTGCCTTTCTAAGGCTCAGAGGGCAAAAATGAGTACAACAATCCTTATCTGCGTGGTTTTCTGCCCAGTCCCAAAAATCTGTGTGAGGATCATCCTTGTTTTCTTTTCAGAGTGACTTTCTTTTTACTGGGGCACATCACACCTAAAGAGGGTAGTGGACATCTTAAAAATAAGTTTCAAGCATACATACTATGTAACCACTGTGCAGATCAAGGCCTTTGGATTTTAAGTTTGAGGTGAGAAGCTGGAGAAATTTGGGCAGCCCCATTTGGGAGGCTTTTCCCCTCTATTCTCCCAGAGCAGTTTTCTCTTCCTGCTTGCTTTATTTTACTGGTGGTATTTCTAATGCTGACAGAAACCCATTTTGTCTACCATTGTAATTTTTTCTGCCCTGCCTATAGTGGGCTTGGGATGAGTTTGAAGGCCTCTTCAAGCAGTCTGCAGAAAATGTCAACCAGTACCTCACGTGAGTAACTCAGAGGCCCTCTCTTCCTCTCCCCTGCCTACCAGCCAAGGCAAAGCGTCTTGTCGAATTTCCTGACCATCCTAATACTCACAGTCAGGCTCACTCTGAATGAATGGATGAATGCTTGAGCCTAATATGAGGCAGGTGATTGCAGGGGCAGAGTTGTGTATTTGCGTATTTGGGGAGGTGGCGTGTCTTCCTGTCTGTTCTACTCTGGGGGTGGGGCGGGGTCAGAAATAGCTTTCCGTGAAGACAGTGCTATTTCCTTGAAACCTACTCCTAAGGCTATGGAATAATCCTGACGTTTGCCTCAAATTTCCGATAGAAACCCCAAGTTTATGGAGCAGACACTGCGGTTGGCAGGCAACCAACCCTTGGAGTTGCTGGAGAATGTGCATTGCAGCCTGGTGCTGCAGAGACCAGAGACTTGGGCTGATTGTGTGACCTGGGCCTACCACCAGTGGCACACCCAGTATTCACACAACATCCAGCAGCTGCTGCATAACTTTCCTCCTGACCAGATATAGCATGCTTCCAGTGTCTATTTGGCATAATACACTTTCTGGAAATATGGAGTTTACTGGAGGCTTTTGACATGGTTCATTCTAGTTAAGGCAGGCGTCACAGGTGCCTTAAGGTATGGGGGTTTCAGAAAAGTGATAAGGCTAGTGCTTTCTGCAGACACCCGTTTTTGCTCTATTCCTTTTCTTTCAGCCCAGAGACTTGGCATCTGTTCTGTCTCCTGTGGTGTAGGCTGAGTCAAATCTGATTCCCAGTAAAGCCATAGAGATTATAATAGGGGAGAAATTTTGGAGATAAGAGCACAAGTGCCAGCTCTGTGTGACACTAGGGCAAGAGGTCATATATTTTTGCTGCTCTTCAGGAGTCTCACCTACAAAGTAGGTAATAATGCTTACCTCGTAAGTATTTGGTGAGGATTAATTTGTCTGTGGATATTAGAGTTAGTATAGTGCCTCAGAGTCCCTAGGAGATCCAGTGCTGTGTTTCTGGCACAAAGTAAGTTTCCAGGGATAGTGAGCTTAGACTTTCTAGGCTCAGGTGAGAAGTGCCAGAGAGCCCTCTTCTCTCCCATTCTACTCCTGTAACATGTTGTATCCTTTCAGCTTACAAGCTCTGGAGCCCCATTTTGGTCTGGGCCCAAACGCCGTCCTCACCCACTCATCTTTCATGTCAGCAATGTGAGTCTCCTTCCTGGAGTCTACTGGTGTTGGGTTAGATAAAGGGTGGGTAAATGGGAAGTCAGTAGAGGCTACACTTGAAGACTGATGTGCTCACCCTCCCCTACTCTTCCCTCTCCCAGCCCCTGCACCTGGACTATGTGATGGCTGCTGCCAACCTGTTTGCCAAGACCTATGGACTGATAGGCTCTCAGGACCGAGCTGCTGTGGTTACATTGCTACAGTCTGTGCACGTCCCCACATTCATTCCCAAGTCTGGTGTCCAGATCCACGTTTCTGACCAGGAGCTGCAGAGCACCAGTGCCTCTGTTGGTGAGTGTGTTTGGCCATTTGACCATGAGTTAGTTTGTACCCTGTCTATCTAAGCCTCCTCATTAGTCTTTTGCCACTGGTGCTCATAACGACTGTAGAGTGGAGATTTACCAGTGCACATCCTTTCAGCCTCACCACCTATATTTGAGATATAATTCTCTCCTTTCTTCTTCACACACTTCCTATTATGAAAACTAGTTCATCCCTTTTCCTATGTGTGTTTGCCTTTTTTCATCTGTTTCTATTAAATCTGTGTAGGGGAGAAAGACGTATGATCTCTACCAGTGCTGTGTCTCCCTTGATCTCTTAGCAGCTTCTGTCTGCTTCTGTGTCTCCACTATGTCCCCATCCATACATCTAGTCCCAACTTCATTGAGTGTGTATTTATCCTACTATGGCCCTTCATTTGTCCTCCTGTCTTCCTTTGAAGATCTTTCTCTGACAACTTCAGCTCTTACTTTCCTCTGTTTTTCTCTGTCCTGTCTCATGATCTGTATCTTCTTCCTCTATCATTTCTGTCTTTGAATGTGCATATTTGGGGGTGTGGTGTGTCTTTCTGTGTTCCTTCCTTTTCAAATACATACCCCCTCATGTTTCCCCATGCAGATTGCATCTGGATGTGTATATCTCTTCAGATACCTCTTCTGCAGGTATTTTTCCTTGTGTCGTCCTCCATACATGCTCTTTTTTCTCCAGTTCTGTCCCTGTGTCTCCCTCTGGATGTATCCTTGAACTTACTTCACACAATATTATTCTCTGCTTTCTTGTCTATGAATTTGTCCACAATTCCTGTTCATGTATCTTTTTTCCTCAACTCTGTGTCTTACCTTCCTGCACCATGACTCATTTTCTACATCATTCTTTCTCAACATTTCTGTCTCATTTTGGTTTTCCTTATGTCTTTTTATCGTTGTCAAAATGAAGATGTATCATCTTAATTACTTATGAGTTTTCTGTTCAGTGGTGTTACACTGCTATGTAGCAAACCTAGAACTTCATCTTGCAAAATTAGAACTTTGTGCCCATTAAAAAACATCTCATTTTTCTTTTTCCACACTTTCTGGCAACCACCATGTTACTTTCTGTTTCTGTGAGTTTGACTACATTAGGATTCTCATGTAACTGAAATCATATGTTGTTTGTCTTTTTTGTGACTGTTTTATTTCACTCAGCATAATGTTCACATTGTCGCATGTGTCAGAATTTCCTTTTAAGTGTAAAGAGTATTGGTGAATTACATGTACATACCACATTTTGTTTATCCATTCATCTATCTATGGACATTTGGATTGCTTCTGTATTTTGGCTGTTTTGAATAGTCTTACAGTGTATGTCTTTCCACACTGTCTTCATCTCTATTCTTTAGTATATGCAGACTTATTCCTTTGTGTTCCCCACACTTGTGTGCCTCTTTCTCTGATTTGGGATGGTGTTTCCAATGCTACCTCTGCGTCCTCTACTGTTTCCCAGGACGTAGATATTTTTCAAATTTTTTATCTGCCTGAGCAATTTCTGCCTTCCTCTGAGCTCCTGTCTTTACATCAGACACTGGCTTAAACCTTAAAGTGCTGATAATGTTTTCTCCCTTTCCTCAGATGACAGCCGCTTAGAGGAGCTCAAGGCCACACTTCCTAGTCCAGAGAAGCTTGCTGGGTTCAAGATGTACCCCACTGATTTTGAGAAGGTGCTGGCTCGGGGCCCTGGGATAGACAGGAGTATGGGCCAACCGTGGCCCAGCCCTGAGCCTTTGTTAGGTTGACAGAGGGAGGGAAGACAGTGAAGAGAGGGTCAGAGAAGGAAAATGATTTCTGGCAACTGGGGAGACCCACAGGTAGCTGGGTGAGAGATAGTGTGTCCTAGGAGCTGGGAAATATTTTACTTTTCTGACTCTCTGACTTTTTTATTTTCCTTTCTTCCAACTCACAACAGGATGATGACAGCAACTTCCATATGGATTTTATTATGGCAGCGTCTAACCTTCGGGCAGAGGACTATGATATTCCCCCTGCGGACCGGCATAAGGTAGTGGCACTGCAAACCTAAGCTTCCACCTTTACCCAAGCTTGAGTCTCCCACATTTGACCAATTCTGTAGATCGATCCTCTCAGTAACTCTCTGTGTTGTTCAAATTCTGTCTCAGAGCAAGCTGATTGCAGGAAAAATCATTCTAGCTATTGCAACAACCACAGCAGCTATTGTTGGCCTTGTGTGCCTGGAGCTATACAAGGTGGTACAGGGACACCGAAAGCTTCATTCCTATAAGAACAGCTTCATCAACTTGGCCCTGCCCTTCTTCAGCTTCTCTGAACCCCTTTCCCCACCCTGTCACCAGGTAGGGCCCACATTCATGAAAACTAATTATATTATCCATTAGTGAGAGTGTATAATGTGGGGAGGGGACATATGTGTGTACTTATGTATATACAGCCAGTTCTAGTCTTCATCATTTCGATTAAAGTTTTCAGGGGCTTGATTAAGATAAAATTAGCCTGTGAGACGGTTTTCAACAAAACAGGGTTGTCATCAGTCTGACTGGATATGTCAGGTTGAGTGATAAGGGTAGGGCTATATGGGATGACCCCTGTTCTACTCCCCTGTCCTTTGTGCCTCAATACTATAACAAAGAGTGGACACTGTGGGATCGTTTTGATGTACACAGCATACAACCTATTGGTAAAGAGATGACTCTCAAGCAGTTCCTAGCCTTCTTTAGGGTAAGACCACTTCTCTCTCTCCACACAGTGGGAGATGGTGGTTGGGCAGATGACCAGCAATGTCCATCTCACTAACACTACTCCCCAACTTTGTTCTCACCCTCTCCAGATGGAGCACAAATTGGAAATTACCATGCTTTCACAGGGTGTATCAATGCTGTATTCTGTCTTCATGCCAGCTACCAAGCTTAAGGAACGATTGGATCAGCTGTGAGTTGGCTGCTGGGCAGGCTAGGGAAGGCCCCGTGTGGGATGGGAATCTTCCTCTTCAACTCTAACACTCATGGTTATTTTCCTTCTTGACTTCTTCGTCCCATATGTCCTTTGTCTCTTTTATTTTCTGCCACCTTGACTCTCTGTTTTGACCTCAGGATTACAGAGATTGTGAGCCGTGTGTCAAAGCAAAAACTGGGTCACCATGTGCGGACTCTGGTGCTTGAGCTGTGCTGCAATGATGAGAGTGGTGAGGACATTGAGGTCCCATACGTACGATACATTACCTGCTGATTCCTGGCAATCCCTTTACCCCAGCCCAGATTCCTGCTAGTTGCAACAGAAGCTGAGACCAACTAGGCATAAATGTCTTATTTTCTTCTGAGAATGTTTTTTGCTGCTGCTCTCTACTGTTTATCATTGGAATTCATAATAAAGCATTACTAAGCATGGCACGTTAACTGTTTTGTCAAAGGCCAGTATCCTATCATCACTAGAAAGGAGTAGGCTTTCATAGCTTCGTACATTACGATGATACTTAATCCAAAAGGTCTAGCTTCACCCTTTAAGGAACATGCCCAGATTCCAGGGTTTTAGGACAGAGAAAATTTAATCCAATGATTCTCACAAAAGTCAGACTTACTAACTTTTCTTCCTGTCCTCTAAGAAGTGAAGACACTAGCAAGGCTGTACAGCAGATCTACTCTTACTCCATGTGTTAATTCTGTTTGCAGTTCTAGTACTTTTATTTCTTCTTCCATCTGCTGTAGTTGGTTTTGTGAGGTAGTAGCGATTCTAGACCTGGACTGGTCTCCTAAGTCTGAATTCTAACTTTTGCCAATGTATATAACCTTTGTTAAGTTACTTTGCTTCTCAAATTTCTTATGTTTAAAGTAGATAGAAAGGTTTGTGTCAAGTGCTTAGTACTTGGTATGTAGTGCATGTTGCACATGCAGTTAACTGTTAGGTTGGTGCAAAAGTTAGTACATTTTTTGTCATTTATTGTTTAAGCATGTATTTTAGCTGCTTGAAAGATATTTTTCTGCTGGTCTTGGTCTTATACCATCTCACTTGATGCTTTCACACTCCGGCCAAACTTATAAGTATTCTCCTTGTAAGAGGGACATAAAGTTTTGCTGTAATGAAAATTGCCAATGCCTTAAGACATTCCACATCTACTTTTCTTTTATTATTATTATACTTTAAGTTGTGGGGTAACTGTACAGATGGTGTAGGATTGTTACGTAGGTATACACATGCCAAGGTGCTTTGCTGCATCCATCTCCCTGTCACCTACATTAGGTATTTCTCCTGTTATCTCTACGTCTGTTTTTAAAAATCATTTGCCTGAGAATAGCTATGGAGGAAAGACCTTTTTCCCAGCTTCACATTGTCTTCTCAACCCTAGATCGCTCCCTTCTATCTTTGGGATTTTTGGGTCTCACCATCAAGGAAGGACCTAAATGTGGAAGGTAAGGGTGGTTTTATCTCAGTGGAGTCTCAGTGCTCGCCCTCATAAGAGCTACAGACCCCACACCTTGCCTTTGCCCCTGATAGCGAAAGGCACAAGTCTTTTTGGTCACCTCTGTATCAACTCAAGATATCTTAATGTTGATGTCAGGCATTTAGGTCAAGTGGAGAGATTTTCCCACCACAGGCAGGTTTTCATCATTACTGCTCAAGTATCCCAAACACCATCCTCTTTCCATTGTCTTCACCACACTGTCTTTTCTGCCCGCTTCCTTTACTATCAGAGCTCCAAAATCTTCCACTTTTGCAATGTAAATAGAAATTTATTTAAGAAGAAATTGACATAATTTTACATATTTATGGAGTTCATATATGTTGATAGATGGATACAATGCGTAGTAATCAAATCAGGGCAGCCAGCATATCTCATCTCATTTTTCAGTTATTTGTTTTGGGAATATTCAGAATTTTCTCTGCCTACTTCATTTCTGCTAAAGCATACACATTGAATTTCTATAATCATCCTTTAAATCATCATAGTTCCTGAAACTGCAGTGACACTATTCACAGTCTCTCAAACCCAGAGGCCAAGTTGTTTGCTTCTCCTATATTTGCCTGTCCTTCCTCTTGAGGGTCTCCTCTGAAAAATGTTTGTTTTCCCACTGTTATGACTGTCAAATATCAGAAATACCATCTATATGCTTTTTTAAGTTCGTTCTTCTATGTACACATACATGCACATGTGCTGAATTGTACCCAGGTTTACCAAGGAGAAGCAGCTGAATATGGTGTTGGTATCTGGTAAGCAACTAATGTACACCCTGAGCTTACTAGGAGGTACATTTGATATTTTAATAGAGGCATGAAATGTGTAATGACCATATAATTGGGATTACACTTAACCATTTTTAAGTGTACACTGTAATCAGTGTTTAGATGTTGGTGGTACTAATTTGTTTCCCTCTTATAGCTGGCATTTGATCAGAGATAAATAGCCAGCAGCATAGCCAACCTACAAAGCTGAGCTGATCACTCAGAGAAGCACAGTTGGCATTTCTGTTTCACTTACATCCCTACCAAGACACCTTGCCAAGCCTCAGAGCCCACCCATGACTCTGCATAGGCAGGAAGACACCTGCTCAGGATTAGTGGTTGAAAGGATTGAAGCATTAGTATTGTGCTTGGATTAGTCTGGATTCTCCAGAGAAACAACCAAGAGGAGATATTTGGACATCAGTGTAGATGAAGGTATATATGTATAGGCCTTTCTTGCATGCTTATAAAAATGTCTAACGCTGAGATATTTATGAAAGAAACGAGGTATACTTGGCTCACAGTTCAATAGGCTGTATAAGCATGGCTCTGGAAGCTGCTCAACTTCTGGTCAGTCTGGAATTTTTACTCACAGGAGAAGGCAAAGCAGGAGTTCTGCCCACTAGGAGGATTTCTCTTCGCTGCTGTCCTTCAAGGGATGTCCTAGAAAGGGGCTATATGGCTGCATCTGTCCACTTTTGGTTGGTGGCTATATATTGTGCAGAACCATCAGTGAACCATGTCCTAGTCTTCTCTTTCTCTGTCAACTGATCATAGGGAACTTCCCTTGAGGCCATCAGTGCAGGCTGGAGGAGAGAAGGCAGGGTGGCAGGAGTGAAGACCATGGGCATTAGAGCTCTTTCTTTAAAAAAAAGTTTTGTTAAGACTATTAGTGGTGATCTTATCACTTCACTGTCCCATATTCCAGCATAATGCTTGAGTAAAAAAAACATTTCATGTAGTGTGAAAATACAAAAATTTCTCTCCTATGTTTCCATATGTTAGGAACTAATAAGGTAGAGATATCTTAAGTGTTTCACTTTAAAATAATTAAAAATGCAACGCAACACGTTCACATATAGTAAGACTGATGATTTCATGAAAAAAGGTAAAAGAACACTGAAGAAAGAGACTAAACACATGTTAATGCCATGTAACGAATCCTAAAAGCCAAATGCATTTTTTTACAGCTAATCTAAAACAGTACCTTGAGCAGGGTTTAAATAAACATCGTTATATGTCAGCAGTTATTTCACAAACTGCAAATACTTTCAACTGTATTGCATTCAGTTATACATACATTTCACTTATTTTTAGGCCTTTGAAACTGTATATTTTGGTCTTATAAATGATCCCTTTTAAATAGACTTTTCTGTAAGAATGTAAAACCCAAAGATTTGCTAAATATCAATCCAATCAACACACAAATCCTTATAAAGGTTTTCTATGTAGTCTTCATTAATGCAAATCTTTGCAAATGTATCACTCTTACTGTAAGATCTTGAATAGGTTTTACAATAATGAAGCTACAATGTTTTTATGGTTCAAAGAGCACACATCACAGGAGATATAGTAATCATCTGTTGTTAACCACTCTAATTTAAAAATCTGTTTTTCATAAAACTGGACCAATTACCACAAACTCATTTGCATAATCAACCATAAGTCTGTTACAAAGCGTTTTGTTAGTGGCATTAAATGAAGAAGACTGGAAACTTAAAACGGGTTTTGTTAAGCCTGCCAACTCTTTTTTTTTTTTTTTACGTTGTTTACTGAAAATTTTATTTATTTTTAATTTTTTATTGGATTTTAGGTTTTGGGGTACATGAGCATAGCATGCAAGACAGTTGCGTAGGTACACACATGGCAGTGTGCTTTGCTTTTCTTCTCCCCTTCACCCACATTTGGCATTTCTCCCCAGGCTATCCCTCCCCACCTCCCCCTCCCACTGGCCCTCCCCTTTTCCCCCCAATAGACCCCAGTGTTTAGTACTCCCCTTTCTGTGTCCATGTGTTCTCATTTTTCATCACCCACCTATGAGTGAGAATATGCGGTGTTTCATTTCTGTTCTTGTGTCAGTTTGCTGAGGATGATGTTCTCCAGATTCATCCATGTCCCTACAAACGACACGAACTCATCATTTCTGATTGCTGCATAATATTCCATGGTGTATATGTGCCACATTTTTCCAATCCAGTCTATTATCAATGGGCATTTGGGTTGATTCTAGGTCTTTGCTATTGTAAACAGTGCTGCAATGAACATTCGTGTACATGTGTCCTTATAGTAGAACGATTTATAGTCTTTTGGATATATACCCAGTAATGGTATTGCTGGGTCAAATGGAATTTCTATTTCTAAGGCCTTGAGGAATCGCCACACTGTCTTCCACAATGGTTGAACTAATTTACACTCCCACCAACAGTGTAGAAGTGTTCCTTTTTCTCCACATCCTCTCCAGCATCTGTTGTCTCCAGATTTTTTAATGATTGCCATTCTAACTGGCGTGAGATGGTATCTCAATGTGGTTTTGATTTGCATCTCTCTGATGACGAGTGACGATGAGCATTTTTTCATATGATTGTTGGCCTCATATATGTCTTCTTTCGTAAAGTGTCTGTTCATATCCTTTGCCCACTTTTGAATGGGCTTGTTTGTTTTTTTCCTGTAAATCTATTTGAGTTCTTTGTAAATTCTGGATATCAGCCCTTTGTCAGATGGGTAGACTGCGAAAATTTTTTCCCATTCTGTTGGTTGCCGATCCACTCTAGTGACTGTTTCTTTTGCTGGGCAGAAGCTGTGGAGTTTGATTAGGTCCCATTTGTCTATTTTGGCTTTTGTTGCCAATGCTTTTGGTGTTTTGTTCATAAAGTCCTTGCCTACTCCTATGTCCTGGATAGTTTTGCCTAGATTTCCTTCTAGGGTTTTTATGGTGCCAGGTCTTATGTTTAAGTCTTGAATCCATCTGGAGTTAATTTTAGTGTAAGGTGTCAGAAAGGGGTCCAGTTTCTGCTTTCTGCACATGGCTAGCCAGTTTTCCCAACACCATTTGTTAAACATGGAATCCTTGCCCCATTGCTTGTTTTTGACAGGTTTATCAAAGATTGTATAGTTGTATGTATGTTGTGTTGCCTCCGGTGCCTCTGTTTTGTTCCATTGGTCTATATCTCTGTTTTGG